AGCTGCAGATGGGCTTAGAACCCGTGATTACCCTTACCGAGACCCACGTGCTATCCACCACACCAATCGAGGCCTTTACTTTGCCTTTCTATTAGCCATGTTTTTACTGAAAACTTTTAAAATGCTGAGATATTTGCAAAACACCGGACCGCAGGTGTCTGCGGTGGAGAACGAGCGCGCTATTGTCCTTTTCGGGGAGTAACGGAGAACAAGCAGTAAATAAAAGGTTAAGATTGTGATTATAACTATAGCCCCAGCTTAACTGGGTTCAATGCCGATTTGGGCTCCTCAGATCAATCCCGTTGACGGGTGGTTGCTGATGGCAAAAAATCGATAGAACTAGCTGAGAAACAGGCGAAACGATGGACCCGCATGGTGTGGTGGTGAAGGCGTTACTCCCCGGAGAGGACAATAACGCGTTCGTTCTCCACCGCAGCCACCTGCGGTTCGAGGTTTGCAAATATTTCAGCATTATAGTAGTTATATTTTGCAAAATACCCTGCCGTTAAAAAGAATAGGCAGTAAATTAAAAGGTTAAGATTTAAAACTTTTACTTTTTATAAAAAACATGGCCAAGAGAAAGGCCAAAGCAAAAGCGTCGATTGGTGTGTTGGATAGCCCGTGATCTTTTAGTAAAGTTAGTCGTGGGTTCGAAGCCCAGGTTTTCCCAGTTTTGCTCATATCTCAGCATCCTTGTGGTTGAGATAAGCTGTATAAGAATAAGATAGTAGGAATAAGCGGCAAGTTAAAAGCCCAAACGTAATCGAGTCTTATATAATGGTGAGATATTTGCAAAACTCCGGACCGCAGGTGTATGTGGTGGGGAACGAACGCGTCCTTTTCGGGGAGTAGCGCACTTCGCCACCACACCATCCACAAATATCTCAGCATTATATGCGAGTTATATTTCGCAACATACCCTGCCATTAAAAAGAAAAAGGCAGTAAATAAAAGGGTTAAGAACGAAGACCCGTACCAACCTCGCGTTAGCTTAAGAAAACCATTTTATAAGATCACATAAATAAATATATCAACTATCTGTGCCGAAGTTTATAGAAAGTCGGTCTTTCGAGTGTTGCCCTAATTGTTCCTCGATGTTACATGTCTTTCTTTGCTCACATACCTTCGTTTTATGAAATAAGAACCGGTAAGGTGACTACAACTGCTAACGAACGGTCTCGATTGGAATGAATACGATATTCGCAATACTGAAAAATTTTCATGGCACCATCGCTTACGGAGAAGTCGTTACTTTAGGGAAATATTAATGGAGCAAAAACGATGCTGACGAAACTCTATCAAGCGCGAATTAGGATTTTACTTACGCAGACACTTATCTTACCTGTCTACACGTGCCATGCTGGTCCGAGCAGTTTTTTTATTCATTTCTTTGTCTTGTGGCTATCACTTATGGAAGAGATCCGGCTCGGGCATGGACCCGTATGGAATTGGAGGATCCGTGGACTTCTGTCTTCATTGAGATGCTAAGTACCCCGTGGAATTCTTATCAGACAACCGTGTGAAGGCGTTCTCAGGTTATCATCACAATCAGTCACCAGCTTCTGTGTATTGGAGGGAGATTTGCCACCTTGTGATTCGGATTTCTCCACAACAGCATCGATCTCTTTAGCGGCAGTGAAATCTGTGACCGAGGTTGATCTAAGAAATTAAACACGCAGAATACGGATGACAGTGCAAATAAATTGAGAAAAGACGTAGTCGTAAAAGCCTGCCTATAGAGTGCACTTGAGAGCGAATCAGACCATGGGTTCTCGGAGTATGCAGACCACGCCTTATCTGTACCTAGGACGTTCAATGAATATGAATGTTTTGGGTTTCGAATCGTGCAGGAGAAGGAAATTGCTATGGGTCGCATGCAGTCAACGGTCCTAGATCTCCGGCTTTGTTATGCACGTGTTATGTTAATGTTTCCGATGTTGAGGTTTTTTGCATCATTTTCGAAGCAGCAACCAGCTAAATTACTCTGCAAAAGATCGCTGATACAGAGAAGCATTCTAGAAATATTCCTGTCTTATCTCCACATCTGATTGAAGAAGGATTTCCGTCATCTCGACAACTATCTGATGAAAATAATTATGTTGAGATATTTTCAAAACTCCAGATCGATGATGTCTGCGTTAAAGATCGAACACGCTATTACTCTATCTAGGAGCTAGAACGTTCACCATCACACCATACAAGTCCTGAATACGGATAGCAGGAGTAGGACTCGCATGGTGCGGTGGTGAACTCGTTATCCCCTAAAAAGAGTAATAAAGTGTTCGATCCCCACCTCAGACAACAGCGGTCCTGAGTTTTGCAAATATCTCAGCATCATTATAGTTATATTTCACATATTACCCTACCATTAAAAAAGAATGGGCAGTAAGTAAAAGTGACGACATACCTGGTAAAGGTTTAATGGCGTTGTACTTGTACGGGATTCGCATACCATGCGTTCTGACTCTCTATTTCAATGATTTATTGCTTCATTATGGCAAGGGCCGGTTCATGGGTGTTGGACTTCGATTTACAACAAGTTTTTGTTATTTAGTCGTTGAAGTTGCTTGAAATTTTTGTTCGGAATCTCAGCTAAAGGTTTGCTGAGTTCCAGAAATCTCAGCCATAATGCAAGAGGCTCGGTCAATAAGCGCGAAGCTCCCGAAATTATACAACGGTTAACGGCTCAGTGGTAGCGATCTGGCTAATCCATAGTAGATCTACCATGAGTGTTCAGAAAGAAAGAATAGTACCCACTGAGCTATACATCAGCCACATAGGAACAGCGCTGAAAATTAGATGGTTCTTCGTAAAAATAATCCAATCGGGTAATTCTGTTTCTCATCTAACTGTTGTTTCTTAAGCTGTGGTTAATAACACTAACTTGTATACTTGGATAGTTCTTCTTCACTAGTTGTGCGGGCTCCAGCATAATTTCCGTTTTCTCGGAGCTTTGCTGGTTAAGCCATTGTGGTTCCCTGAATTCTCGAGGTCAGACTGACAAAGTATGTACCAGGTTATCGCCGCACTTGTGGATCAAAGGGAGATTTGCCACCATGCTACTTGTTTGATACCAGGACGGTGGCAGATCCTGGTGTTGGTTTACTCTTAGCTGGGCTTCATGACGGAAACGCCGGACCCTTTCTCAGCTAGGGAGACCCCGCCGAGGGGATGAATCCTCCGCTGTACGTCGCACCCCGACTACAGAGGAACACCTCTCTGCCACGATGAGGCGGCAAACCGTTGGGAGAGGCTAACACCAAAGGAAGCTAATTGAGATGAGAGCATTCATTGCATCTTATGGATAATATATGGTATGTTTTATAAAGGTGTTTACTGAATGAACTCTCATCTACAAGATGGCCTAGGATTTTTCGCATTCCTTCCTTAAATACTTGCTAGTTGGGAATCATAAACGTTTGTGCCGAGTGTCGTTCTAAATGAAAGTATTCCTAAAAATGAATAGAAAGGTAGGATTCCCAGAGAATGAACTTCATCTTCATTCTCATCCCCTACGCGCCTGTGATCTACAGGGTAGCGATCGATTGTAAATCGGAAAAAGTGCTCACCTGAGACGAAATACCCATCTATTCACTGACGAACCACATCTATTTTGTTCATTCTAATTCCGTCAGGTTACCATGATTAGATGGTCCCACTATAGCAGGGATACATACAACCCTTTCTTCGTCAACCCTAGCGAAAACGTCCTTTCAGGGCATGAAGTCATTTCTAATCAATAAGCGCATCGATGCAGCAACTCTGGCCCCCAAGAGAAAAAACCCTGTTGGCTCATTTCGAAACCTCGGACTAGCTGGAAATTGCGCAAACTTGCACAGCTTAGTTTTATGCTGTATGCTGCGCTTTAGCGAGAGATCCTAGGAGGATCGGCCCTTCAGAGATGGCGTTGGCCCCTATAATTAATACCTCCCTACAATGCGCCATAGTACGTCCAGTGAGGGTCGTCAGGAACAGTATCCTAGTGGCTTCCTTTCAGGAATTGTTCACGACTGATCACACTCTCCAGTTTTCTTTCCAACTACTGTCTACAACTCTATATTACTATAGTTTTTATTAGAAATTCTGAATTGTTGCCTTCAGTTTTACTCTATTTTGCCATCATGACCTAGGTACTTTGTCCTCGAAGTGTTACATGATTTTATCAATACTTGTCTACGTCTCATCGAAGCTAATTGTGCTCATGGATGTCCTATAGTGGGCTTTCATTACTTCGTAGGATTCACTAGGCTGAGGACCACGATATTTCCACCTAGAGGCAGGCTAAGAGTCCAACTATCCCTGAGCAGAGCTTGGTGAGTGGCTCCTAGGTACTGCGAAAACTACTTACTTGCCAAAAACTGTAGAAATAAGGCAACTGGTACTTTTACTGTGTGGTTGGTTTTCCTTGGGATAACTGTACTACTTCTAGAGTGACACTGATGATGAGTGACATTGCCGAGTGCGAAGCTTAAGGTTCCCGCTCCATTTCTTCTGTTGTCAACGGGTTTACTAACTGTCCAGGGGGTTTCATGATGTACTCAGTGCTTCTTGTGTAATTTTTCTTCTTCATACCTCAGATCAACTTGTTTTCCCTCTTCGATAGTTTTGTTTTTCCTTGTTTTATCCATTTTATTCATGTCCGCACTCATTCTCGTCGCTTAGCCAAACTTCCAGAGATGTCCTGGATTTTTGTCAGGGTGTTGTTTTCCGGAACTGTTCTTTTGAAGCTGAACTTACATTACAAAGCTGGCCTTAACTGTGACGACAATATGTTAAGCAGATGATGAGCATGACTAATGTAGTAGTGGGTAGTTTTACTTCCCGACGTTTGCTCCGTATCCCGGACACGTTTTGAATGTTGTTAATTTTCTTGTGTCTTGTAGTCACAATAGTCTTAAGATCTATCTTAACTGTTTTGGTTTTAGGTGAGGGCCGTGTGGCCTCCCTATGTTCGTTCGCAAATCCAGACGTATCTCAGTTCAAGCGCTATCCGTGTTCGGATGCTAACCTTCTTTCTGGGAACGTTGGTCGGCGCCGCTTTCGTCCTGATCGTCATCTTCGTGCTGATCGTCGATCCTTGGGCAATCCATTCATCAACACCATCATCATCGTTTGTCGACCAGTATAGGCCTATTGAAATTCCTAAGGTAAAATTCCACATCTCTATTTTGGCACTTAGCTCGGTTGAGATTTCAAAAAAGGACGCAACTTGTATCATTTGACTAGCAAACCCAGTAGTACTTGTACTTTTTCCCAGTGCTTTTCTAAACTGAGTAATTTTCTATGTTCTATGTTGTTTTTCATAAAACTGTAGCGTAGTTAATGGACCCATCCACGGAATATTTTACAATTTGGGTGACCGACCATTCATACATTGCTTTTCTACGTTTCAATCTCGAATGGGCTGTGTTGGTCTTCATCCAATTAAATGGCTTAGAATTTTCTCATTTCGGGCTATATATTGGCTAATATCCCCTTTTTTCGTCTCCATCAGTTCGTTGCTAGGAAGGTGACGTCATAATAATGTTACGTTTCTATGGATATCCTGAAGTGTTTCTTGAGAAAGATCTACGGATCTGTCGTTTGATCCATTCTGCGTTTTAGAAAGAAGCCTTTATATTCCCATGAATTGAATTCCGCATATTTTATTCTTACATTTCTTCCACTATGATACTTATCTCTAGCAAAATGCGTACCTTGCAATTTCTTTTAGCTGAAATTTGTCGCTCTTAGCTTAAGAAACCTTACGGAATGAAAAGGTGAGTGGAGTTTTTTCGAAACCTGTGATATTGCTGAAGAAGGAATAACGTCAAAAAGGGTGTCTTCTAGTAGATTTCAAAAAGTACTTTACACTTGTTTTCTTCTTATGGTTTTTGGCCTAAAATTATGGGTGTTTTCTCTATGTGAGCTTCTTAACTGAAACTTAAGCTATCTAGGGCATCAGAGAACTAACAATTTACTTACGTTATTCCCCAAATGTATAAGTTCGAAATCTCTAGGAGCTTCGTGAATTTCTAAAAACTGGCGACGATGGACAAGGTGTATCTCGATGGGAATCTTGTCACTCCGTCTCACTCCTTCTGCACATGTTTTTTCAAGAACACAAAGATGGACGACACTTAAGAAGGTTTCTTTTCCTAATAAGATTGATTACTGTTTTGGCCAAATGTCATCATTTGCTCTCAAGACCAACTAACATTAGCACTGTAGATCTTAGTTTGTCTTAATGGTCTTTATTCAGCATTAGATGATGATTTGAAGCAGTAGAGTTTCATTTTAAAGAGTTCTAACTAAATTCAGGTGGTTTCACAAGCGCTTACAAATCGAGCTGAACGATGTCTGTACTCGTTCTGCAGCTGGTCGTCTTATCCAAGTATGCCCAGAGTTCTTGTTTAAGGTTTTCATCCTCAAAATATCTGCTGAATAGACAGTATAATTCCAGGAAAGTGAGCATTTTCAGTTTTCCTAGGTATTAGGGTTCGCTACTGTTTTCCCAGTGTCTAATGCTCCTTGATTAATCACCTTCTTCACGTTGGATTGCTACCTTATTACCGCCATGGGAACGTCCTGGTTAGCTATCCGCGGCGCCATGAATACCGCAGCGACTGGCATCCTGTGATGGCTGTCCAAGGATTTTGGTTTCGGTTTATCCATGGGTGGGACGTCTGTTACTCGGGCTACCCTAGGTTTACAAATGACAATGAACTCCTTGTTTCTTCTGAAGTAAGGTATGATGATCCTGTGAGATGCGTATTTAGGAAGTCCGAATACGAGACCTGTCTCTCGGTACAAAAGCTCCACGAATTAGTGCGATTCGTGTAGAAAGTGTCGAGATGTCATCGGACAAAACTATTTTTGAGGTATTTTAAGCTGATTTTTTTCTCTGATGTACTGATTGCCGCTTTTCTTATTTAAAGAAGATTATTCTTCTTATTGATATGGAGTATACCGGCGGCTTTGAAACATCTATCGACGTCACAACGGTATTCGGAAAGAAAGCAAATTTGTCAATAAAGGTATGAAGAGTTGTTGTGAATTATCGTCAGTACGTTTTTAATTCTTAGCATTAAGCTAGCAAAAGTCGCTGGTCTGGTTCGTCTTATTTTGTCCCGGAAACCGTATAATCACTGGACGTTTTCTTTTGTGTCAACACCAGAGCTTGCAATGGATGTAGGATTTTTTCCGAATTATTTGCATGAATATATTATATATGTGTAGCGACCAGTATATGTGTAGACTGGGACTGCCTTAGTGGAAATTGTTTTCATTGTTTCCAATGCTGAAAACGTTGTTATCTGTATAGACAGTTGGTTTAGTTAAGCATCGTTGCGGTGATAGAATGCATATTTGGCCTTTACAATTACTCACGGTGCCCTTCTGATGTATCGAGCCAGTGCTGCTATCCTCCCAGACAAATCCGGTACCAGTTTACCGGCCCCGGAACGATGGAGGGCTTAGTGAACCTGGGGTACGGGGGTTGATCCCATGTTTTGCAGGGCGCCTCCGCCCACTGCGTCACATGGTCTATCTCAGTACATAGGTTTAATATTGAAATGAGAATCAAGCTAACTTCTTTTTATACTGATCATGGGAACTTGATACTCAGAATGCACTCTGACAGTGTAGCACTGTGACCTAGTTGTTTGGACACGATACTTGTTGCTACTTTAGCAATCGCTATGGTGACTGAGTGAAATCTGTGTAAACTGTAAGTGTAAGACGCTTTGATTCAGGTCAGTTCACAGATTCAAGGACATCAGCTGAAACGTCTGATTCCTTTGATAAAGGAATCTATCCGACGCGCTTTACAACGAAAGCATGTTTGGCCAAACTATAAGATTCGCTACCGACCACTGTTTCCTAATCCTTTCCTTCAACCTTCTTTGCCCCTCAGTAAGTAGTTAACTCGAGCTGTCCACTTATTTGAAGTTATAATTCGTCTGCTTCCCAAAACGCGTAACGAAATTTCTTAGGTGCCTTCACACATGTTAAAATTGAGGGCGGACTGGAAGTAACGGTACTCCAAGGAACTCGTCTAAAAACTAATTTGGTTGGAAAGGACGTCAGTAAATATGTTGTTTACTGCACTGTGAATTTAGGTGGGCTAGTTTGTTCTCTATAAGAGTTGAAGTGGTCGAGTGAAGATATCTGCTCCAGATAGTCGTCCTTTCCTGCAGAATTCATCTGATTTCTCACATTCACTAAGTGTAATGCTCACTTTCTCACGTCATGATATGATCACTCCTATCGGAATAATATTTGAGAAGGTATTTCTTATTCTTTCTGGCTTTTTATTTTCTACAATTTCGTATACCGCTCCTATTCGTGAAATTTCTGGAGTCATTTTCCTTATTGGAAACTTCGATTCTATCTAGACAATGGCAAACGCGAATGGAATTCGTCCAGTACGTGTTGCTGTTGTCGAAGAAGGAAGTCTTGCCGATAAAGCCGCGTTTAAGCCAGGTTTTTTTTGATGAGTTTACGAAACCCTTCCTTCTTCTGCTTTTAGACGTTAAAAAATTACTGGTCACATAATAATACAGTAATTAGCCCGAATTTTAGGAGATACGCTTATGGCGATTAACAACGTTCCTATTAGGAGTGAACGACAAGCTATTCGATTCCTGCAGCAGACCATCGGCGATTTATTAGTTCTTGTTGATCGGAATTTGGATGACATCGACGACGATGTCCTAAAAAGTGAGTAGTGTTGTAGGTTTACGAATTCGAAATCGATATACTCTATTTAGAATACGGTAGCCCAGGCTTCAAAGATCACGGGGAATACAGTCCTTAATACGTACATCGCTGTTCTCATATTACGATCATCACCACATGTACCTTTTGGACAGCATGAATACTTAACAACTTGGCCTATTGTTGGCGCATTCGCTACCATATGAGCTACGAATGATTCCTTTTCTTTCCTGTTTCCGTTGCTACACTTTTTGTATTGAATTGGTATCTTATCTACTACATACGTTGGTAGTGGTCATAGTCAGAAAGCTTCACCTCACACTTAATGGCTTGCAAAAACACTTTTCACTTGAGTTACTTCATCTGATTCGAATCTGGCGGCGAGTTTTAGCATTCCTATTGGTCTAACGCACTTACGTTCTACAAGAAAGGAAACTTTTTGATCGCTGTAACATAGTAAGGGCGCGTGTGGCAGTGGTCGGAGGCGCCCTGCACACACACATAGGATCGATCCCCGCACCATTGGCCACCAAACCTTCCATCCCTCAGGGGTCGGAAAATTGGAACCAGACTTGCCTAAGAGGAAAGCAACACTGGCCCCATACATCGGTTGGCAACCGCGATTCGTTCTAAAGGCCAGAGATGCATTCAGTCACCTTCGAACGATGCTTTTAAGGATTGTTCACCGCCGCGCGCGTTATACTTTTTATTTTTTATAACATGATATTGTCAAGAAGACTTCTATAGGATAGTCGCCATTATTAAAAGCACTATCCTTGGGAGGGCGAGTATGTATATAATAAATCACAAAGTATGTATATAATAAACACTATTCTCAAAGAAATTTCCTTTATAACCTGCAGTCACTGCAACTTGTACTGTTAACGTACGATTTTCAATATCTGAAAACCTTTACAATACACCATTTCGTGTTACACTTTCTGCATATAATGGGCAAAGTTTGCAGCCGTGGAATCCGCAGCCTTTTTTATTTACACTTGCGGTGGCTGAGTGAAGCAATCTGAACTGAAATTTTTTCCATATTGGCTGTGTCTAGTGTAGACTGCTTTAGAACGCATTGCAGCAAATCTAGAATCAATAGAATCGATAGAATGATATTTCGCTGCTTCTTTTTTATGAATTCCCAATACAACCTCGCTGTTGCTTCGACTCTCTGTCAGTCTTTTCAATAACGCGGCTACTTGAGAGCGTAGGAATGCTAATAATTTGATGAGAACACAAGTGCATTGTATCTTGCGATCGTTCATCATAATTCATTTTTTACAGTCACACAATAGATTGTCACCGCGTTCTTCGCAATGGCTGAGAACCAGGGGAAAAAGGGCAAATGTATGAAACTCGTAAGATGGGGAAGAGTATGCAATGTACATGTGGTTTTCTTGATGTGTGAGGAGTTCGCCGCCACTTTGATCACTTTATCCACGAAGAGCTTTGCTTGAAACTGGCGTTTAACAACAAACTCGAAAGATTCGCTTTCTCATCGTAGGTCGCGCTGTCGGTCAAATGAATGCGAACCAAAATTTTTCTTTCCTTTTAAATTTAAGCCTCGATATGGCATAGGCTGCTATATGAAATTTCCCCCAGGCGTTTCCTTTTTTTCTCCAGTAATTCCCCAACATGGCAATTAAACTATTCCTACCTGAACGACGAATGTATGTTTTTATCCTTTATTCAGTTATCTCTTGCTATAACTGGCGCTTTTGTTTACTGTGCCCGCTAGTTGTCATAACAGACACCTTTCGAGTGTCACAAGTATTTCGTAAAAATGAACCGAAGTCGTAAATTTGGGTAGAAGTTATCCATTAGCACAAAATTGGCTGTCATTGAATTTCTAAGGCTCACCGAGGAACAACATTGTTCGACCACTCATCGCTGATCTGGTTATCATCTTTGCATTCATCGTTCATTCTTCGATCTAGTTCTTTCGGATTCTTCAGAAGGATGGATAAGGAATTTCACACCATCTTCAACTCCTTTAGTTTTTTTTTTGTCTACTCACAGTAAGCAGTTGATCAAAAACAAGTTCAATTCATTCATCATTTAATATAACTTAAGCTTGTAAAATTTATGTTGTGAGGAGTATTTAATTCATCTATCCTTTGTAATTGGTATGAAGAATCGTAGATGACATGAATGGATAAAAAGAATATCTAACAGTGCGGAGACTTGCATGTTGTCAAACAGGTGCCTGTGGCGCAGTGGTCAGAGGTGCCCTGCAATACACATAGGTTCGATGCCATGCCGCAAGCTCACCAAGCCCTCCATCCTTCCGAGGTTGGCAAATTGCTACCAAATTTGTCCGGGTGCATACCAGCACTGACTTGATAGATCGGCAGGCAACTGCGAGTCATTGTAGAGGCCAGATATGCATTCGATCACCTCTGAGGATGCTTGGTGAAGTCGAATGTATGGTGCATCCTTCAGAGATTGATCAACCTCAAGAGCTTTATCGTTTAGCTTTATTTGTATTGTCAAACAAACTACAAAATGGAGACATCAATGTGATTGGATAGAGTAAAAGCATTTTTCCTCACATACGAAAGCTATAAGAGTTTCAAAAGCATAGAAAGATGCATAAAAGTGTGTAGAGTATACACGTAAGAAAAACAAAAGGGAAAAGATAGTATTGAAGAAGCACATAGAAAAGTCAAATTGTAAGACGAATGCGAGGTCATTTGTTGTGGTTACGGGCTATATGATGAGCATAGTGGGTGGTGAAGAATCAAACGTAGTCCTGGGCGGGCACCAGACGAAACAATTCGTGATCGCAAGTACGTTGAGATGTTGAGGAGTATCGTTACGAATACATATATAGATGTATATATATAAATATGTTTATGTATTTGATTTCCAACGCAATTTTCACTGTCGCAGACTTCAAGAACGCGTTTGGAACATCAAGTTTTAATGGATAGGAAGAAATTCCTTCTTCAGTAGGTTCACAACCTGAGATAGAAGTTTTCGCAACAAGAAGGCAATGTGAAAGATTCTGATGGTTTTTAGTTCAATTAACAGAGTTCTTTTTATGTGAGACATAACTTTTTAAACGAGTGGGAGACATTAATTTTCACTGGGTTTTCACTGAAATAAGAGTATTTACTTGTGGATATGTTGATACCGATACTTCATAGTAATAATCGGAGAAAGAGTTTATATGAGTATGAGTCAATGGTGGCTCACCGGAGCTATTTCCCGCACATTTTCATGTTTAGAAATTTGGGAAACATTTTAAGCATCCTGATTTTCTATTGTTTTTTCTCTAGCATTATAAATTTTTAAGCGTGCACCGAAATAGAGGACGGGCGAAGTAGTGATGCGGTTGTGCGTCTTGGAGATGTTTCCTCAGCCCGACCAACTGTTGTTCAACGAAGAAGCGTATCGCAAGAGTTGGATCGTAAGTTCTCGTTAGCTAAAGAATACTTGACAAATTTTAATATTTTTTAATTTTTCATCTCTTGATTCATTTGTTCCATTTTTGTTACTTTCAGGATGTAATTACGTTATTAAACTGACTATCGTCAATAAAGTTTTCGAAAAAAAAAAGCTGGAACAGAAGCGTTTCGTTTCAGTCGTGACTTTTCCAGACATTCATTTCTTATCACTTCTTTGCGTTTTCATCTGATCTGAAGATTGAAACTCTACGTTTCTGCTGTTTTACTGTTATAGTTTGTACACCAGTTCCACTGGCGAGAGTTTTCTTTTTATATCGAAGCGATTGACAGATTCATATCTTCTAAGTCATGGTAAAAACTGTTGATGAAACTTAGGAATACTTTCATTTAGCGAGGTAGACTTGTTATTTGAATGAAATAAAACAGAAAGATGTTGTGTACTACAAGTTTATTACGCGATCATAATTGCAGCAAGTGTGCGAGATGGTGCTTGTGCATTGGTTACAATACGTATTTACCTTAGGTGAAACGAAAGTCGTTGAGCTGAATATAACACTCGTTGCATTCTTACACATCAATTTGTGTAAAATTTTGTGTTCTAAGCTATAATAACTTATCGAAAACATATAAATGGAAGAACAAGCTCTCGAAAAGTAACATTTCAGCTCATCGTCGTCACAGTCTCTCGAATGCGCCTTCTGATCCTTCGATTATGAACACAACTACGGACTCGATAACGTCTTTCATTAGCCTTGGTACAGTTAAAGTTCATGAGTTTTTGAATATGAAGAGCAAAAGATTTTTTTACACTTAAAGATATAAATGGTTTTTAAAAGTCGTTTTTGAGCCTAAATTTTGAGCAGCACTATCCTTTTCTGGCTAACCACGTTTTTAACCGCTTGTTCTCGAAAGCATCGTCATAAAATCTGTTTTGTTTTATTAGGACTATAGTGCAGGATAGTATAATACTTAGTTGACCCATCCTCATATTACTTGCAAGGTTCAACACTTTCTCCATTCGTTTCTTTCTCTTTAAACCGTTTTCCACAACAAGTCGGATTCCTGTGTGGATTTTGCTGTTGCGTGAGGATTTGTGACTTCCCCTCCTCATTGACGTTCTGAATGTTGGGCGAATGTGGTTTTTATCAAAAACCTGAGATAGCTGTGCTATTCTGTAGAAAATGCGCTGTAAAATTCTCACCACACGCACTCGCCATCTGTTGTGCCTTGGAGGAAGTTAGCTAGGATTCTGTAAGAGAACGAAATGATATCTGACCAAAGTCAAATATTTTTGAAGTGTATTATTTTAAAACAAAGCTCTGAGCTTATTGTCACTGTTCTCTTAAAAACACTAAAATTATTTGAGAAGCTCACCTACGACGAGAATAGTTGTGAAAGGAAGGGGAACATAGGATTGAAGAAGGAAAGCTAGTTATAACATTTTGAACATAGATCTTGGTACTGTGTTATGATTCTTGCACAGCAGGATTTTTTTTCAGTGCTCAGTTTTTGCCCAGCAGAATAAAAACAGACGATACATCGATATGCCCTCGCTACTCATTGTGTAAAGTCTATACATGCATTTAACGAGCTCTAAAATGTTATGAATGGAGTTTAATGTACGGCGCATCCTTCAAGAAATGATCGACGCTACTTTTCACGCTTCTTCAGTTAGTTATTATGTAACTGTTGAACTGCTTGAGTGGATGCTGCGGTACCCCACTATTTGTGTCCATAAGTACCAGAAAACTACATATAATGACTAGTTGCATTCTCGGAAAAACTAGTATTCGACTTTCAAACAAAGTCTTCGTAATGAACTGTCTGTGTAATACCGTAGACTTGTATGAACGGTCACCTTGACGAGCTAAAAAAATCACTGGAACGAAATTGGTGTGACTTCGAGTTTCATGATTAGAAACCTGATACACAAGTATAAAAGGGCCCGTTGGAGTTGCAGTGGCAGCCGAGCTTTCTCGCATGGAATTCGACTCTCGGATAAAGGCGTATCGTTTTGTCGGCTATGCTGCTGTCGTATTTTCTGCTATATCTATTCTATCGATCTGCATCACATTGCCAGTCGTTTACAACTATGTAAAACACGTTAAACGCACTACGCATTTGGAGCTGCTGCAATGTAAAGCGTCAGCAAAGGATATATGGACGGACATCCACAACCTACCACTAGAGTCGAACCGAACTACCAGAGCTATCAGACGTCGCCAATACGAATTCGAGGAAATCAGCGCTTCTTTGGCAGGCGCTTGCGTTGGCTGCTGCATACCAGGCGCACCTGGACCACCAGGCATCCCGGGTAGACCAGGTCGACCAGGGAAAGCTGGGACACCGGGAGCCCCTGGTAACCCTGGCCGTCCACCAAGGGAACCATGCGAACCTATCACTCCACCACCCTGTCCACCATGTCCACCAGGTCCTCCCGGACCCGCAGGACCACCAGGCCCCCCTGGAAATCAAGGACCTCCAGGACCTCCTGGTGAACAGGGAGCAACTGGACCAGTTGGGCCTCAAGGAATGAAAGGAGTCCCTGGCCTTCCAGGTCGTATGGGACCTCCGGGATTACAAGGGCCAGCAGGTGAACCGGGACCTAGTGGGGAACCTAAACCTGGTGCTCCAGGACAGCCCGGACCTGTGGGACAGCCAGGTAGCCCGGGTCTACCGGGACCGCCTGGTAAAGATGGCCAGATTGGTGAGCCTGGTCCAAAAGGACCTCCTGGATTACCTGGAAATCCTGGATTGGATGGACAACCTGGAATGCCAGGACAACCAGGACTTGACGGAGCTCCTGGCGAACGAGGAATCTGCCCGAAATATTGCGCCAGAGACGGCGGAATCTTTTTCGAAGATGGAACACGTCGCTAAGACTTCATATCTATGTTATACACGTGTACATCACTTTTACGAATAAAAAATTCTAATCTCTTTTCTATGCAGCTATTCAAAGTATTAACTACAGGAATTATCCAAAATACAAACATCATAAATCATTTGATATGAGTGGAAAAGTGGATCTGGTGTACTTGATTGACACTACTACACATTCATAACTCTAACATGTAGTCAAAGGTTAAAAGAGTTGATCGTATGCCTCGCTTTGTGTTATGAATTGATGAATAGATAGGACTTCTTCAGACGCTTTCGACAGAGTGGATTCATGTCCCGTTTGCGATTCGTAACTGATCAGCGACTTTGATATTCGAAATCCATCGATCTCATGTTCACTTATTCTTCAGATGCATCTGCAATTCCCATGACTGGCTTTCTTTTAACCTCGGCATTGATTGATGATTTGATGTTTTTCTTCAATAAGCAGACACGAGGTTGCTATTATAGAATTTATTAGGGTACAATAGCTGACGTTTCGGCGGTTTCGCCTTCTTCAGAGCCTGGGAAGGTCAAATTGAGATGCGATCTACCCAGCCAAATACTTCCATAATCCCAGCAGATAAAACTTAACAAATAAATTTGTATTCGCATAAGAAACAGCTTCATTTAAACACCTACCGTTTATTTGTTGTAAGCATTTAAGTTAGTTGGTGGATAGCAGCCGCACAATACATGGGCGATAACTGTGTCTGTGTTAGGTCAGTGGATCAGCCTGAGGTATGGCGCCAGGTCACGCGTGATGACAAGACACTCCACCTTGCGGTTTATTTTTGAGTTTTCGGAATTAATCCAATGCGCTTCAAGAGTTTTATGCACTGGTGTTTTGGATTCCTGTGTGTGGATAGTGACTCTTACTTCAAAATCTTCACCGTTGTGTTTCTGCGCCCTATGTGTGCCTAGTGGAGTGCTTACTTTCAATCTAAATTTACGGATTAGATGTTCTCCTAAACGGGCACAAGTGGTAGAGTAGAGTACAGTAGAGTAATGGCCTGAGATCGATTACTGGTGCTTCCATTTTAGACATGAAGGCAACGGTAAGGGTTGGTGACAGCCGCTGTCCCATTGCCAACCCTCTAATTTGCGCCTAATATTTCCCGGGCCATATGAAGATCGAGCAGTTTAAACAGACCTTTAGGAGGACCATAAGCTGCTGAATCGAAAAGCCATACATAGATGATTTATAGATGATACATTTATAGATACATAGATGACATAGATGATGGTATATAGATGATTGTTTTGTCATCTGCTCCACACAAGAGGAGATGGACAAATGGTTTGAGTTGTTGAACGAACAGTCAGGGTACATCAAATTCACCCGTGAGAAACCGAAAGAAAACTGGCTTCCATTTCTAAACGTTCAAATCAATCTATCCGAAAACGCCTACATCACAAAATGGTATCGAAAGCCAAGCAGTAAGAATATTGTGGCTCATTACCTCTCCTCTCATCTCTCACACACTAAAAGGGGCTTATGAGAAATATGTTTCGAACTGCTGCTAGCGTGTGCACAGGGAGAGATCAGAGGGAAGAATCGTCGAAACTGGCGCGCCAAATAGCCATTTCAAATGGTTACGAAACTGTAGCTTCTCGACATAGGCATGGAGGAAAACCCACGCCCCAAAGCGATAATTCTAGCGAAAATAAGGCTCCGTTCCTCTTGCCTTTTATTTCAAACGAAATAGGTTCAGTTATAAAACGTTACTTAATAAGGACCGGTCCAGAGAATTCCGTAAGAGTGATAGAAATACCATCGGACACTCTAAGACGCCAGCTAGTTCGCAACCGCCTATATGACCTCTATGTATAACGAAAAACTGCATAATTTGCCCTAATGATAGAGATGGAGTTCGAGTACAGTCTGTGTGATCTCGTGTAAAACGTGTGGGGACGAATACGTTGGCGAAACGGGTAGACCGCTCTGCGTCCGCATAAAAGAACACCTAGTCGGTGAATCTAAATTAAAACCAAACACTCCACTAGGCGCGCATAGGATGCAAGAACACAACGGAGAAGATTTTGAAGGAGGAGCCACTATGCTCACGAATGAATCGACAACATCAGCGCGTAAAACTCTTGAAGCGTTTTGGATCGATTCTAAAAATTGGAAAATGAACCGCAAGGAGGAGTGGCTTGTCATCACGCGTGACCTGGCGCCATACCTCAGGCTAATCCAATGACCTGACACAGACAGTTATCGCCCATGTATTACTCTGTGCGGCCGCTGTCGATCAACTAACTTAAATACTTACAACAAATAAACGGTAGGTGTTTAAATGAAGCTGTTTCTTATGCGAATACAAATTTATTTGTTAAGTTTTATCTGCTGGGATTATGGAAGTATTTGGCTGGGTAGATCGCATCTCAATTTGACCTTTCCAGGCTCTGAAGAAGACGAAACCGCCGAAGCGTCAGCTATTATATCCTAATAAATTCTATAACAACAACCACGTGTCTGCTTGTTGAAGAAAAGCATCTGCAATTACTGAATACAAGGTTATTAATACAAGGGTCCAATGTTTAAATGAGTGAATTTTACTGGAACAGAAGCACTAAGTGATCACTGGAACTTAACAGAATCATAAAGGCTTGTTTAGTACAACTCCCGGAGAACTGTTTGGTAATCTTTTATTTGAAAATGTCCTTCATTTTTTGCACGGAATAAGGAGATTCGTTGTTGTATCACTTGCATCAAATGGCAGAGATAAAACGATTTCTAGGTGATGTTTTGGGTTGTTTGTGCCTATATGGGTGTTTATTCCCAAATCTACTGGGTTCGCTTCATTCTTAGTTCGTAGTTTATAGTCATGGTTCCCTTACCAAGAAACAAACAAATTTTTTTCAATCCTCATTCCTCATGTTGAGAACGGTATTGGTCAACCTTGCAGTGAAAAATTCCATAGTTGAAAATCCAACATGGTCAAATCATTCGCTGAGTTAATAAGCTCTTTCATTTCCCCCCACTGTTGAGCAGTGAGAGATTGCAAAGTGACAAAACAGATTTGAAAAAGTAAGTGAGATTTTCATAGAGCTTGGAATATCACTTAATCGGTGTTATCTTCTAGCTTTATTAAGAAGACGATTAAACAAAATTGGGCGTTTGCAAAACTCCGGACTAGCTGGAAGACAGGCGAAACGGAAGATCTGCACGCTGTGGTGGTGAACGCGTTACTCCCCGGAGAGGACAATAACGCGTTCGTTCCCCACCGCAGATGCCTGCGGTCCGGAGTTTTGCAAATATCTCAGGATCACTGAAGTTATATTTCGCAATATACCATGCCATTAAAAAGAGTAAACAATAAATAAAACGGTTAAAATTAGGGTGCATAGTAGAACATACACAGTTCGTTTCTCGTTCTAGTTACACTGTATCCATTAGCGGTTTTATCCTTGTTAAAATTGCATTTCTGTTTGAAGTGAAGCTCGTTCTTGTTGTATATCCTTCATTTTCTTCCTGTAACAACTGCCTTGAAATTTCTTCTAGGTTGTGCGAAATAAATGAGCGTGTTAGAATATTGTTATGATGCATTTCTTTTCACCAATAGTATGTATTCTTTGTACCTTACAATATTACTTATCATTAGAAAGCTGATTTTATGCTCTTTCTAACCGCGCTTTTATATTTTGTCAAAATTTAATTTTTTTTCATCAGTTTTGTGCTTTGCAATTTTTAGCTGTCAAAAGCGAATTTTCGTCACATTTTCTTTTATGAGTTTAAACTCGGTCGTAGTGCAGCAGAGACGGCTCGAAACATTAATGAAGCTTGGAGTGAAGGTAGTGTTGGTGAATCGGCAGTGCGAACACTGTTCCGGAAATTCCGATCGTGATTTCGACCTCGAAGATGAGGAAGAGCACAGACGTTCCAGTGAACTTGACGACGATGAATTGAAGACATTAGTGGAAGCAAGCACGCGAACAACTGTTCGGGAGCTTGAAGAAAAGCTTGGCGTAAGCACAAGAACAATTTCGGCTCACTTGAATCGCATAGAAAAGGCAAAACAAACTCGACAATTGGATACCGCACGAATTAAACGTTCATCAAAAAATGTCGACATTTTGAAGTGTCGTCTGGTCTTATTTTGCAAAACAAAACAACAAAAACGGTCGTTTTCTCGATCGAATCGTGACTTCGCGACGAGAAGTGGATTCTGTACGACAACCAGCGACGTTCAGCTTAATGGTTGGATTGCGATCAGGTTCCACAGCACTTAGCAATGCCGAAATTGCACCACAAGAGGTTCTGGCGACTGTTTGGTGGTCTGCAGCAGTGCTTATTCATCACAGCTTGTTGAATCCGGGCAAAACAATTACGACAGAGCAGTATTGCTAACAAATCGACGAAATGCACCGTAAAGTCCAACATCAAGGACCGGCATTAATCAACAGAATAGGACCAATCCTCCACGATAACGCCCGGCCTCACGTTGCCAACCAGCGCTGTAGAAGTTGAACGAGTTGGGCACGAAGCTTTGCTTCATTCGCCATATTCACCAGACTTTCCTTCTATCGACTTTCACTTCTTCAAGCACCTTAACAACTACAACTTTCTGCGCGAGAAATGCTTCACCAACCACCATAACGCAAAAAAAATGCCTTCAACGAATTCATCGCCTCCGAAACTCTAGAATTTTATGCAACTGTAATAAGCAAACGTCTTTCTCGTTGGCAAAAATATGTAGATTGGAATAGTTTTCGTTTTGACTTATAATGCTTCGTTTGAAGCAAGCTATGACATTTTAAATAATATAGCTAAAAACTTTCATTTATTTCTGAACAGTCTAATGACGCAATAATAGGCGTTCTTCTTCATACATGAAACTGCATTTACAGGAATTATTAAGTAACATTCCTTTCAACTAAGGACCGGTTTTGTCTTCCAAACTACTTTTAGATAGAATGAATAAAGGCTTGCTCTTGATTTTCAAAGAATGAACTACTGGGTGGGAAATGACACCAATGTAGATGCCGCTCTGAAATTGGATCCATGGTTGTCTATGGATTAATATTTTTCTAGCCTCTGGCACATATGAACTATGTTTTTGTATCTTATTTACAACTTTTTTCGTTATAAGAGGTAGAGATTGTTGAAATTTAGGCGTGGAGTTTCTTCTGTTTTGGTTGGAAAGCGCATTAATACTAGGATTGGAAAAATGGCTGTTTCAGATGCCCCGCTCAGTCGTCCCATCAATACTGTTTCGGTATTACGAACGGAGAGTGATCGTGTACCACAAGTATTTGTTAGCCAACCAAGCGTTGAACTGCGAAGGACACGGTAGGTGGACATCATACATTGGCAGTTTTTAGAAGAATCATTTTCGAAATCGTCTGAATGTTCTTGTTGTCTTCTTTTCAGTTCGGAAAGTCAATTGGCGAGAAAGCCTCTAGATTCTCTTTCAATGAGATCCACCACATCCGCTGGTCTAGAAGACGAGGTTGTCTCAGTATACACAGTGAGCTCACTTGACAGCGAGTTAGCCAATGAGAAACTGGTTGGTGAAGGTTATTAAGGCCATCATGAGTACTTCATGTTCAGGATTTTATCAAATCATAGCTTCCCAATCTTCGAATATGTTTCTGCTTTTCACTGCTGTACGTTTCAATGTTGTTCTTCACGTTTGTTTCAGTTACCTTCGTTTGAAGAAATATCCGATTGCAATGATACGCTCACTCAAAATCTACTCACTCCACGGGAGAAGGACACCACTTTGACACCTGGAATGACATTGGCAGATATAGAAAAAGAGGCTGTAGCCTCAACTATGATATCGCGGCCTTCCTGTGTAGAAGAACATGTGGTTTGTATCTTTTGAGTTTCGAACCTTTAAATATTCAATATCAAGATATTCCATGTTGAGAAGAGTTGTTTAAAAATAATTTGTATGTTTAAGATATTTTTTCATACAATAGGATAAACACGCTGAAAGTGGTAGCTCTATTGCGTCTTCGCCGTGTTTTCGTCCAGAAGACGATTTGGATGATGATATGCTTCTTCGCTGTCGACCAACGAGTACAAGGAAGCAGCGACTTCATGTTGGTGGACATAATTTTATTTCAATTAGCATATATTCACTTACAAAAGGAAAGCCTTAAGGAGGGCAGACGATTGCCACAACTTTTGTTGGTTTTTCGATTGCTACAGATTTCTAAAATTGTTTAAAACTTGGAAGTGTATCATCTTCGACATTTCAGAACTGCTTCAGGTAGTTTTTTAGGCAACCTTGAGGGCAAGCAAGCGCAGAGTTTTGGATTTGATGCAAAAGCGCCGTGTTGCTACTGCCTCACCTAGTGGTGACACAGTTGAAATGGGTTCTGATGCTATCGACTTTAGCGCTGTTGCAATTTCAGATAGGGAGGTGAACAAGTTTTGAATCGATAAATTTTCCAATGGATTGGTTTTCTCCTTTGTTAAAGAAATAAAGAAGTTTTTTCGAAAAGTCATGTAGTTTATACTTAAAAATGTTTGAACGGAATTTTGAAAACTTTGCATTTTAGTCTCCCTTGGCGCCATCCGGAAAACGTAGCCCTGTGGAAACACATGTTGTGGACAAAAAGGAGAAGGTGAAGAAGAGAAAACAGTATGTTTTTTATCGCCTTCGATATATTTATTTCCTATGTTGTGAAAAGTAGGGATTCTTAGACACCAACGAGCAAATGGCAGTCGTTCTCCAGTTCTCGGGAACGGACATTCAACACCAAGCTTACATGATTCTCCAACGACATCCACAGGGTTTATTCGTTCTAGATCAACTAGACCTGTACCACTACAAGAGGTAAGAATTAGTTCAGAAACACAACTAAACAGTAATTTATTTCATAGATAGTTCCATGTTTTTTGTTTTTTCAAACTCTTTGTTTGCGAATATATCTTGATTCATAAAATTTGCGGTCGCTTACATTTATGGCGAATCAGTACCACTGAAAGTACCTTATTTGCTTCGCCAGGGTATTAATACCGTGGTTTGAAAAGAAGCATCACGAATAGAGTAGTTGAGACTAGATTCTGTTTGAGTTTTCAATTCAGCTTTGTAAAATTAACGCTTGAAAATTCATAGGCATCCGTTAATCAATTCTATAGTTTTTAAAGAAAGTTGCGCTGTCGTCAAGCCATGTTGTACAGAGATCCTTTTTCCAGAACAATTCTTTCTCGAATTGTTTCTGTTCTTTCTATACTCCGTTATTGGTGGTGGTTCAGAATGTCCTTTGGAGCCAATCACTCCACTACGATCTTGATGGAACGTCATCCTCTTCACCTTTGAAGACGTTGTGCAAGTATTTGAACATAACAGTACATGCAAAGGAGTTACCGTATACACCGGTGGTCGCTGGGACGAATCCGGCTTCAACAGACATCGGTCAAACACCCGTTTCGGAATTGGAGCCATCTCAGTCTATTTTGTTAGGATATGTGAGTGTAAATATTGATATTAGCTTCAGACCTAATTTTTTATTATGAAATTTTTTGTCACTAGTTTTGTTATATTGGACAATAATCATGGAACGATATTGGAAGCCGTGGCATAAGCAAGAATTTTTCGAAATCAGGAACAAATAACAAAAAATCTGTGCGATTGACCGTATAGCGCAATGGTCAGTGGCGCCGTGCCATAAACACTAGTTCGGTCGCTGGTACGATTCAACTTTCCGTGCCCATACAGACCACATTCCTTCTGACAGCAACGCATTATCTGGGCCAGACATGCATCCATGATAATGTCGAGGGCATGTTGCATGCATACCTCATGGTTGATCAACTCCGTTAGCTTTATCCTTTTTTTATTCGTTCGCAAAACCGTAGGGTTAAAATAGGCTGCATTTTCTTCAGAGTTTGTTGTTTTTCATACTCATGGAAACTTTGAGAATTCTACTTTTTTTATACCTCAGTTTTTTTTTTTGGAGGAAATTATGTCTTGTGTTCACTTTGCCCTTCCAGACGTCACTGTACATTCCGCAAATACTTGATGACTGCCAGTTAACGTTATCGAATTACCATCGCGAAGTATACCAACTGAAACCACCGACAGAGGTCCAATCGATAGTCGAAGCGTATGTGCAGTTTTTATACAGTGTTCTTCTTACTATTATTGTTGTTTATATAAACCTTTGTCATTCCCACTACTTGTAATCACCAGTCATTAGGTGTTTCACGTAAGCACTAGTCTCTATTATTTCTGTGACATTCCAAAGCTACTCGCATTGCTTTGTAATGGGGAACTGAGTATTCTAATGACCCGGATGGTGTAGTGGTGAAGTGCGCTGCTCCCCGGTAAGGACAACAGCGCGTGTTCGTTCCCCACTGCATACACTTGTGGTCCGGAGTTTTGCAAATATCTCAGCACTTCATACGAGTTATATTCTAATGAGCTTCATGCCTTGTGGTCCTCGACGTTATTTGTTGAAGGCGACCACGAATTGCTTCTTGTGCACCTCCTAATCGCTTCTTGTGTACCTCCCAATTTCATGAGTGTTGTTCGGACCAGTAGACGTAAATAAATCGAGGCACTGCGCCTTTTAAATAATCGGTGAAACTATGAGATCCATATTCATATGATACAACAGTTTAGAATCATACCTGCTGATCCTGATTTCATGGTGCCAGATGTCTATCCTCATCTTCGGCTATCATGCGTTGTCTGTGTTTCAGAAACTTAATTGTGAATTTTAACATCAGAACACAATGGTAGCAACCTGAGAACTGAGATCAACCATACACGATTGTTGTAGAGTTTTCCTTTCGTCGATCCTAAATTTTTTTAGCGTGCTTCGGCTTACCGAAATCGTAAAAAACTTCTAGTAATTTTACTATTTGCCGACCATCCAACGATAGTAGTAGCCCTGTGCAAAACAAAACGTGCCTTACAAGATGTGGTTATCCAATATCCAATTGATTCGTTAAAGTTGGTGAAAGTTTTCATTCTATGTGATGAAGTGGAAAACATGACCTACGCATCTATTTCTTTTTCTGAACACTTTACTGGTTATCTGCCGTGACTGAGCTGTTGAAGGAAGCCAGTTTTACTGTTAGGTATGATGAATGACGATGCCAATTTGAAACATGGGACGTATTGTAGCTAGAGATATGTACTAATTTATGAAGTCATACCAGTACTACACAGATTTTTCTTTTTTTTCCTTCCAAGTGTAGTCATTCAAGTCTTCACTAATTTGTTTTCCGATTTGTGTGGTTAGTGTCATCATCAACTCTAGAGAAGATGTTCTAATAATCTATTGCAGTCTGTTTCATGCTCTGGACGATCTACATTTGAAGTCTCAAAAAAAAATCTTTCTTAAGTCACTAAAATGTGAAAGGACTATGTTGGCGGTTTGCAGTGGTGTTAGTCAGAAAGAAATTACGATATTACTGAACCGCTAGATAAAGATAGAGAGTGTAAAATATAACGCCAATCCAGTGCGTAATTAGAAGTGAAGAAGAACTGTTCCTCCGAAGCATGCGAAAGTAATGGAGTTAATGTACTCGCCAACATGAGCTAGGTTGTGAATGGCGATTTCTTTGAGTAAATAATTACACAATATGGTTCTAAATTTTGGTTATCAGTGACCTCGTGAGACCGTTAAAAAAACAGCCGGCTATGATAGCGTACCTCAACCTTTAACGTAAATGAAATCGAAATAATTTTTGTGACTTTGGAGGTGTCCTGGGTTGTGGAAATCGTGTATAAGGTAGACTAAGTATAAAGTATTACATAAGGTTGTACCCTATTTTCTTGACATATCCAGTACCAGTAGGACGTCTGAAGATTTACATTTACACAACCATGCAGTATAATGCAATGAACAGGGGAGAAATTATGCGAGTCATCATAACCATCACCAATCGTGGTAACTCACAGTTTGAGAAGCCCTCCCGTCAGTATTTGATGTGGAAGTGTTTGTAACTCTTCACACAAAGTCGTTATTCAGCGAAACCTAAAATTCAAGATAAAAAAGCAGTTCCATGACCACTTTTTCACTTCAGTTCTTTGGCTGGCTTTTGGGAGGATGTTTTTATTGGCCAAATTGGTGGGGGATGCGGTTGGCGCATCGAATACGTTCAGGACAGCTCGAATGAGTTCACACTTATTCACACTTCACACTTACTTTCACACTTACTTAACTTAGAATTCACGAAGAAATAATTGCTCTCCGAAAACTGCCAAGCTTTCTCCTTCGTAAATTGCCTGGTGGTTTATGTTATACCCATTCAATGGTTGGCCAAGAAGCACACATTGATGACTATCTTTCAGTCTACTGTGTGTTGTCTACATGCTCTTTAGCGGATTCTCAACATGGTTGATTGAAACCATGACAAGTGACAACCAACCGTGTTAACAGCCAGGGTTTGATGTTTATTGTTGGTTTATATCCACACTCAACGATGCCGCAAGAGGCAGAAGTTGCCGCATTGTCACCTTTGTCGATTTAAATCTGCAATTGAGATGGGCAGAAGCGATTATGGACAGGTGGTCTTTGCTAATCTCACAGAGATGATTGTTGAATCATAATGCTCCGTACTGAACAAGTCCAATGGGGCAATTTTCAAAAGATATTTGGCAATTTTCTTGCAAGTGAGTACGTCTCAAGAGTACTTTAGCGCCCTCTTGAAAACACAAAATCTGGGATGAAGTAGTATGACTTTGAGATTCGGTTGCAGACGCAGCAAAGAAGAAAAGAACGCTTCAAGTTCACCTCTCACTCTTTTTTCTTTTTTTCCTGTGGGAAGTCTGCATTGTGGAAGCCTGGGTGTTGTTTGAGCAAAGGAAAAGTGGCTTTTGCTACTTGTATTCGCGTTAATGTAATCGATTTACATGGTGGTGTTTCGTTAACGTTGCTAACTCTGCGCAGATCTCTCCGAGTTAGTTACGAAGATGCGTGGTCGTGAATAGAATGTAGACAGTTATTGGAGGGAACATCTAACTGCCGAGCAGATACATTTAGGAAGTAGGGTGTTTGTTTCTGCTCTGCCTAATGGACTTATCCCATCTTTGTGGACATTATTACTGCCAATCTTTTATAAGTGCTTTTCACACTTTTTTAGCCTGTGATATTTCCAGATTTTTCTTATAGATCAACACCAGAATTTTGTCGGCATGCCGGCTATGACCCTCGATTATGTTACGGTGATGTAACGCTTGGGTTCCGATTCTTTCCAGGAGGCTTTCCAAGTGGAGCTGGTGCTTTGAATACTGAGGAAAGGTTTGTGGTGTATACGTCTGTATATTTAAAAATGAAAATAAACCGATATAGTAAATACGTTATATATGTGTGTGTGTATATATTTATATGAAAGGTTTTTAGCTTTTATATCTATATACATGTATATGTAGCACTGTGCGAATTCCAGCACTTCTCACATTCCACGACATCATCATCCATCATGTGTATGTATGTATATGTGTGTGTGCATATATATATACTAATTTTTTTGTATATGCTGTTATAAGCTTCATCATGCTTAGAGTGGATCGCTTACATGAATCCTGAACATGGAGAATGGAAATAATTTTGCTTTGGAATGTAGTAATATTAAAAACAATGATAGAAATTTTCGCAATCTTATCACTTTTTTGTGTATTTCAAAAACTTTCTGCACACATTTGAATAGGTGGGCGAATTTCACACAACGAATTGTGCATCCAGTATCTCTTTCTTTTAATCATAACATTTTGTATATGAGGTCGAAAGAAAGGACCTCTGCATGTCAAACAGTAAACAGATCGTGTTCTTTAGCATTATGTTTAGCGACGAAGAAATTCGAATTGATGAGACGTTTGTTGTCACGAAGGCGCCCACACCCTCACCAGCATCTGTAATATCTACTAACCAACATGTATGGAAAACTTGGACTAGCAAAGGTACGGCATTTCAGTTTAATCGGAATCTGTCTAGGTGCTCAGGTCCTAAAATCGTACTAGAACTGGTGATGAATGGATAGGGCTTCACTATATTTCCCATTTGCTTTAGTACTCATTCCTCTTACCGTCGTTTTTCTGTTGCAATGGTCTATTTTAAACATAACGGCCTTTGTGAGTAATATACCATTCATCATTAGTCGTTATATCTGCTCATATCCTGTGTTGGCTCTTGTTTCCTCATTGAGTTGAAACTCACATTCCTCACTCATATGTCCTTAGTTGTACCTACCGCATAATCAAAGAATTCATGTTACCACTTCGGTATGTATTCCACTGGATCTTGAAAAGACAGTTTCCCAAAGAGTCATACCAAGCAGTTTAGACTGCTCGGTACACCGTTTCTATCCTCGTATATGGCCTGAGCGCAGTCCCTTCTGGTCTGTCTTTTTTATGGCTCCTTTCTTGGTGAGTTCACTAGCCAACCTCTGCAAATGCAGGATATGGTCACTGTTCACGACATGGTTAAAGGATTTTTCGTTGTTAATTAGTCACCGCTACTAATCATATCACCTCATCCACTCACTCTCACTAGCTGCAGAAGTGCTAAAACGGTTGTGCTGGTTCGTTTTGAATGCCAAAGTTGACTACACGATAACCATCTGAGATGCCAGTGTGTCGTTGTGTCGTACTATCCCAGTTTATTAGTAATAGATGGATGTACTATTTTACAAAACCTATGCCACTGAAAGTTCGTAGCGGTATCAGGCGTCTACTGTTAATATGGTTACAAACGTTCAGTTCTCGTTTATTTGGCGTTTTTGCTCGTAGTTTCTTATTGGAGAATCATGTGAAACTCGATTTGCTTTGTATCTACACAGAGTGCTTGGAGTTAAGTAGACATCAGAATCGACTGAAATGGCGTTACAGTTGCATAGCGTGTAACAGTTTATGTTGCATTTCGTTGCTGTGTTGCTTTGATCTGATCCCCTCGAATCTCGAGATGTAATCGACTCGAGCCCCTTTGCTCATTACTAGACGTCGTAGACAATAGTGGCCATGTTTGGGTACCGTAGTAGTGATTTAGTTTAGGTACTGGAGGTTCAGTGTTATTGGCCAAGCGGTATTTGTTCTGGGATTACATGGCCATGCTTAAGTGTTTCTAAGCTTTCATTGCACATACTTGCTCCACCTCATTCGTCAGTCAGAGGAACATTTGCCACATTGCGTTCAAGATACTTGAAGAATGGCTACGGTTTTTGTTATTTGTTGACTCTTCTGGTTTTCCGTTTTCGGAATGTCGTACTCCTTAGCCTGTCAAAGATATGGGTCTGGTTTACATCACACTTTGACGTCCTAGTACACCCTATAAACATGGTGGAGTGAACCACTGAGGATCCTCAGTTCTTCTCGAAAGATTAAGAATATCCTTAGTTTTTATTCATGCGACTATCTATTCTTCGTTAACAAATGACATTCTAATTCATTTCATTTGGGAATACATGTGTTGCTACAAAGAGTGTTGGTAATCGACCTGGAGAAATCGATACCTTCGCTGGTTTCCAGAAACTGTAACATTGCACTTCAGGAACTACGATATGTGCTCTTTGTCGTGGAAAAATATGGCTGAAAAGCGCAAGTTGTTGCCAGCGATGTCGAGTCGTTTGTCATCATAAATGTGTTGAACGGGCGGCATCAGGAATTCCATGCAATCCGCATGCAGTCCTTCAAGAGGACAAGCCTTTTAATGAGGTTCGGATTGTTGTTTTTTATTTCATGGACAAAGAATATTCATTATTTATTTTCTTGCTTGTGTAAAGAATGTGCTAATATGTACGTGAAGGAGACCTATTACACTTTTATGTTGTTTTTCTAGCGTTATATGTAACAGTAGAAAAAGTATTCTTCTTTATCGTGAGATCTCTGAGTGTTTATCTTGTTCTAGGTTGATGTTGATATAAACGCTGAAGGTGGAACGAAAGAAGATTACCCGCCTTGTGATGTAGCAGCTACGTCGCAGGCTATGCAGTCTGTTTCATCAAATGGTGTGTTCTCTCTACCTTTCCTTCATTGGTCTTATATGACCTCATGTAAACATATCCCGCTTCATATCGAACTTTATTATTTGTAATAGAAATCGTGAAAATCAACATATGTTTGTCAATAGTGTACGGCTATCTTATTTTCCCGAAGGAAAAATTCTGTTCCTCTGAAGCCTATCGTTTTTTTTCCGGACGCTTTTATCTCGAATTGAGAAGACGGTATTTCACTGAACAGGACAGGTCGATATCCGCATTGGTCTTGCAACTAAATCGAAAAATTCAAAATTTTAGAAAAATTTTTAATTTTTTTTTGAAATTTTGGCTTGTAATTAAATTACAAATGAAAATACCTACTTGGAGGCCTAGAGGATTGGACAGCCAGTCTTCAGGATAGTGCGAACTACTCAAAATTTGTCCTTCATCATTTTTCTGAATACCATCATCCAAGATGGTGGTATGCTCTAACTATAGGTACATGTGCGAGTATTGTCTTGTGACCTACAAATAGTTTGTAGCCGGAACATATCTGCCCTTAGAGGTAGCCGCCGTGGAAAACATTACTATCCTCTGAAGTTAATTCTACTGTTTTTCCTTCTATCGTTTACTTTTCTCGTTACGTAATTGACCCACGTAAATCTCGCTTCAAGTGCTTTTTTCATAGGCATTTAACTATGTTCTGGATCTTAAAGACAATATAATTTTTGAAGATCGGAACCTCAGGCTCTGGCTGGATGTAGTGTATGGCGGTTATAGTTTAAACAAACACGCTCTTCTTTTGTTGATCAGTTTACACGAAGTTCTTACAAGTCGTTATTTTGGTTAGCTTTTGGCGGTATCACCTCTTTCAGAGTTACGATTGCCCGACTCGAGTACCCACAACAGTTAGTTGTTTATTTGATGTGAGTCTTCGTAGTCGTCGCATCAAATCGAATCGAGTGGAATGGAACACGTCAATATTGCTGTTGTCATCAGTAGACATAGACAACGTAGCGCACAAATTTTTGGGTTTGCTTAAAATGTCAACCTTGTTTTTTGCCTGCCAAAATGTTGAAACCCCATGGAGTTAAAATGGTGAAAATGGAATTTTGGATTTGTCGGTTCATCGGTGATTTCTCCGAAACTCGTACGCATTCCTTCCTACTCTCCATATTTTTCAGGGTACTCCTTTAATATCGTTTGCGGTGTTCGTTGGGCATGTATGTGCAGGATGTGTCTATTGTAGCTAAAGAACTAGCCATTTCTTTCTGTTGGCCTAGGTAGATTGTGACATGGATTTTTCATTAACTACTTTCTTGCGATTATCTACAGTCCTAACGTTTTACTTTTTATTTGCTGCCTACTATAATTTTTCACGGCAAGGTATAATGCGAAATAGAACCACAAGGATGCTGAGATATTTGCAAAATTGAGACACAAGCAAGGGCCTCAGTGGTGCAATGGATAACACGTGAGCCTCTAAAAAGGGTAACGGCGAGTTTGAATTTGAAGTGGGGTCTGATCTGAGTTTTGCAAATTTCTCAGAATCATTGAAATTGAGCGATATTCACGAGCTTGTTTTCTCACCCCGTTTGGGCATCATGCTTGCTTGCGATGTATTGCACGGGACAAGGTTTTTTTCCTTTTTAAATCTGAATCGTAAAAAGATATAGTTTGTGGTTTCAAATCGAGGTTGCTAGTCAACTGTGCTATTGTTTAGTCCTGTACTTGACCTTACTTTCGTACTGTTGGTCGCAACTAGAAATTCAAACTATAAAATCGTAGGTGGTTTCTTGGATTTCACCCAAAGAACGGATATTGTAGGCAGGAAAAGTTGCTATAGAACTTGTTATGTTTTCCGCCATGATGGAGTGGTAATCAAATATTCGTTAATTAAGACTGAGAATGAGACATTATTTTCGGGTCGGTACTCTCAGCATTTCTTTAGATTGGTTCCTTTAGAGCTCCTTCCAACAGTTTTTCTTAACTCATTTCTAGAAGAAACTTTGCTCTATAATGCTACGCGTACGCATATATTTTTTACAAAGCATTTTTCGTATAAAATTCCGTAAGAAATCGATAAAAACCAGGTCGGAATTCCTAAACTTTCTGACCCTTATTGCGTGTTGAGGAATACCATCGTGTTGTGCTGGAGAGAATCCCTCTCATTTAATTGCTTTCGTATTCCTAATACCAGCTCTAAAGGAAACAAGTGAGAAATCTTGTTTCATGGTGTCTATAGAAATAGGATTCTTGTTGCTGAAATAAGGAGACTATTTTCTTGTTGTCAAATGTCTGTAGATCGTAATGGTTTATATCCATGCTAGCGAAGTTCATCACAAGCTGGGACATATTGGTTCTAGCCTGAGAACGGTCATCATTTTCGCGGAGATTCCGTTGAAATCTATGCATTTCGGGTGTTACCGGTTTAAACACCACTTATCTACGAAAGAGGTTTTTTATCCAGTATGTTCCCGTTTTCAATAACAAATCAGTATCGGATGTGATTTTGTGCATTACAAAATGAGCACATTGTAGACGTTATGTCATGGAATAAGCATTTTCTCTTTGTAAGTTATCCTGTAATGCATTTCCCTTAATTAATGGTGATTGTTCTCGAACAACAGTTGCCCATAGAAGAGGTGTGCTGTGGGTGAGGAACTAGCAGGACGATTTCCCTTCGCACTTCGGTCTACAAATCCAAATTTTGCACTCCTAATTTTAAATTCTAGACACATATAGTTAGTTAATGGTACCGTGTAATGCACATTTGAACCTTTATATCTCCGAGATTGGAAAATTTCTATCAGAACAATTCTTTCCACTTGTGTTCAGCAAACACGAGGTGCTATTCCACTCCCCCACTCACGTAAAAGCTGACGTTTCGGCGGATTTCGTCTTCCTCAGAGCCTGGAAAGGTCATGTTGACAGCAACCTATTCGGCCAAACATCTTCATAACCAAACAGAGAAAACGCCAAACCAAGATTTCAATCACATTGAAAACAGCTCCGCACACTCGCCGGTTTCTGTGAGTCTTCCACTGAGTGTGTCGTGTGAAGCGACCAGGTTTCTGACGCATACGTTAGGGCAGAAATTAACGTTGAGCCGAAAAGGTGGGCACGGAGTCGGGTGTTCTTTGTTCTCTTCACTACATCCTCGATGCTCTTGAGAGCTCCCCAAGCCGCTCGTTTCCTTCTGCTCAGCTCTCGAGATAAGCCGTTCATCATAGTGATTTCCACAGACCTAGATAGATATAACTGGAGCATTCAGAGATGTTCGTTCCGTTGAGCGTGAATGGGGTATACGAAACCAATCCATTCCTCATGAACATCGTTTTTGTGATTTAGTCGAAGACGAATCTTTCCACAGGCTTTATCAAAGTCGTCAAGCATACGTTCCGCTTGACTAATGTTTGGTGTTATAAGGTCGATGTCACGAGCAAAGCGAAGATGGCGTAACTGCCGACCATCGATTTTCACTCCCATATTGCTCTATTCTAATGTTCGCATGACATTCTGGAGCGTGGCGGTAAATAATTTTGGCGAGTTGGTATCGCCTTGCCTAACCCCTCTCTTGACGTCAATGTTAGTATCGCTGTGTAATTAGTGATATCTTGGTTGTGAAATTATGCACAACTCATGAAAAATCTTTATGTACTGAGTAGGGAGCCCTTGACTATCAAGGGCTTCCACGAGTGCTTCTGTCTCAACTGAATCAAAGGCCTTCTGTAAATCGATGAAAGTGAGGAGCCTTGTTATCGTGTGGATGTGGTCCATCGTACTAAATCCTACACAAATAGTTTCCTAGTATTATGGTGGTACTCTTTCATAGTATAAGAAAAACGACGCATTGTTTTTTCCGAAGCAACTTTTGTGGCTTGGTAACCTTGACCACTTTTGAAGAGAGGAAACCCACTAAGCCGTTATCAAGCCGGTCATCCGAGAGTGTGACCTTAATTTCAGCCATGCAGTGATAATGTCATGAAGAATTTTTATGTGCTGAGTAGGGACTTCTTGACTATCAAGGGTTTCCATGTGTGCTTCTATCTCTATCTATCTCTAATTTCAGCCAACCGCACAGAATTCACATGGAAGCGTAATGTGCCCCTCCCATCAGAATAACAGGATTATATACTGTCCAATATCGCGCGTGATAACGAGGCATTCCTTCCTGCGATTCATTTTCGGATTTCTGGAATTAATCCAGAACGCCTCGAGAGTTTGCGCGCGTGTGTTTTTGATTTCTGCGCGAGGATCGTGACTTGTACTTCAAAGTCCTCCCCGTTATGTCTCTGGGTCCTCTGCGTGCCTAGCGNAACCCACTAAGCCGTTATCAAGCCGGTCATCCGAGAGTGTGACCTTAATTTCAGCCATGCAGTGATAATGTCATGAAGAATTTTTATGTGCTGAGTAGGGACTTCTTGACTATCAAGGGTTTCCATGTGTGCTTCTATCTCTATCTATCTCTAATTTCAGCCAACCGCACAGAATTCACATGGAAGCGTAATGTGCCCCTCCCATCAGAATAACAGGATTATATACTGTCCAATATCGCGCGTGATAACGAGGCATTCCTTCCTGCGATTCATTTTCGGATTTCTGGAATTAATCCAGAACGCCTCGAGAGTTTGCGCGCGTGTGTTTTTGATTTCTGCGCGAGGATCGTGACTTGTACTTCAAAGTCCTCCCCGTTATGTCTCTGGGTCCTCTGCGTGCCTAGCGGGTTATTTGGTTTATGTTTTCCGGCTAGATGTTCTTTTATGCGGGCACAGAGAGGTCTGCCCATTTCGCCAATGTATTCGTCTCCGCACGCCTTACAGGAGATCAGATAAACTATACCCGAGCTCATGCAATCACCGTCTTTACCATTGCTGCAAATTATGCAATTTTGCGTTGCACATAGACGGTCATATAGTCGGTTACGAACTAGCTGAAAAAAAAAAACGAATCTGAGATTACTCGGCGGCATTACAACTACGTTTACCGAATTCTCTAAACCCGCTCTTCTTAAGCAGCGTTTTATAGCTGCACTTACATCACTTGAGATGAAGGGTAGTATAAACGGGACCTTTTTGTCGCTAGAGTTATCGTTTGGGGGCCTCCGATTTTCCCTACATCTATACCGAGCTACAGTTTCGTAGCCGTTGGAAATTGCTAATTGCCGCGCCAAGTTCCAGGACTCCTCTCTCTGCTCTCTTCCCGTGCACACGTTGGTTGCTGTTCGAAACATGTTTCTTACATGTTTGCGCTCTTTTCGTGTGAGAAGAGAGGTGATGTACCAGGATGTTTTTACTACTTGGCTTTCGGTACCACTTCATAATGTAGTTACATCGATAAATTCCCCCAAGTCATTGTATGGGTGTGATATTCATTCACTCATCTATTGATGATTAGTGAAATCTGATGCATGGTTATCTCTGAGGAACGCGGCAACGCTGAGTGCTTTATCCAAGTATTGTTACATATTCCCTTTCACTACGGGGCGGATCGGATAGCACAGTGGTAGTGATGTGGATCATCACGAGCGCGGTGCTGGCTCGATCCTGCTCCGGATTCAGCAACCTCACATCCCTCCGGGATCGGGAAATTGGTACCGGATTTGTCTGGGAAAGAAAATCACTCTCTGCAACCCAATTGCGAACTCTCCAGCCCAGTGATCTCAAAACTCCAGGGAGAACTGCTCGACCAGCATTCTACGACATTCAAAATGAAATGAAAATCCCCAAGCAGCAACCGAAGCCACCCGTAAAAATTAGATCTTTGTGAACAGTGGATGCGAGGAATCGAATCGAATGTGAGAAGTGCTGTGATCCGCGCGGTAGACTTGAAGCTGGATCAAATAAAATGAAGAAATCACTTTCACTGCCTGTTCTTCATGTTTATTACAAGAAAATTATAAGTGGGATTTTAACTGTGGACCACTTCAGCTAGTTGGTAATACAACACTTATAATCTGCTATTCTCAGCTGTACTCATAGATGGGTAGCAATTAATGGTGTTAATTTTTTTGACGCATTACTTGAAGCTGGGTCGATGACCAGCGAGACGCAAGTACCGACAGGTTAAATAAGAAAATGTTGGATCCTAAATCCTATCCTATTGACGTTTCGTGACAAGCTCTTCTTTCCACAATGACAATGGTCCTGTCGTTTCATATCTGTATGTCGGTCATCTTACCCTTTTGCTATTATAGTATGACTAAGCCGAATTTGAAATGACACGCTGTTTCTGGAAGACTGTAATGGTCAATGTCAGATGAGACTGTTCTAACGTTTTAGTTGCAGAGTGAAATTCAATCTCTATAGCTTGTCATGGACAAGTTGTTTTTATACCGTTCCAGTTACGCTCTACGGAGTTGACCGCTTTGCACCAGCTGTTTTACCGTCTGAAGTTACCAGTGGGTGCACAGTATGTGGGATACCTGAGCTGGTTTGTTACTAGTAGAACATTTTCTTGTTTCCTCGAACGCAGATTCTGCCTTTCTTGGATGTTCACATATCTTTTGCACAAACTTGGCTGCTATAGATGGGATGGATTTTGCTGCCTTGCGGTTAATTACACAAGGACGGAAGCGATTTTCGCGATTAGTCGAGAACATTCTGACTGACCATCCGATGAAGACGTCGTACTCCTAAGTGAAAATAATATTTTAGGCGATTTCGCGTTATTTTTTATGGCTTTTTCAAGTCCTCCCATTCACAACTACTCTTCCAATCGAAAAGTTATTAGCAGTTATACCAAGACTGACATCTTCGCGAACTTGTTAAACATCTGGTTCAACAAGTATTGACTGCAAGTCGTTTTTAACTAATATTTTAGGTGATGATGTAGAACTTACTTCTCGTCGTGTACGATTACGGAATAAAATGACAGAGAAGCTTAGTTCATGGAGACGTGGTGGGAAAGCGACAGCAAAGCAACATCTTGATGCTGGAGGTCGTGACTCTCATTACTCAGATTTCTCTACGGGAGTTGTTTCGGAAAAAGAAGAATTGTTAAGCCAAATGGCCAATATACAGGTAGATCTCTGACGTTTTTTGGTTGCTGAGGAGAAAATTTTTTCGAAAGTGGTACACGTGCACTAGATGAAATAACGGCTATCGAAACGCCTGAAGAGGCATAAATATTGTAGGACTGTCTGGCAGATATTCTACCAACCTTGGATGGTTCTCCATTTATCCGTAGCTTGTACTTCCGGCCCGGTGACGCATATAACGAGCAGACGATTAACCATGCAAAACTTTTGGGTAAAGAGATTTTCTCAGACTTGAGAGGAGAAGAACGAAAGGCAATGATAAATGAGCAGGTGTTGCTTCTCACCTTTCTTCCCACAATTCCTAGGTGATTAAAGTATTTCTTTGTACTTATCTAATTTATGAAGTCAGATCGATCGAATTCAACTCGCTATCCGAGAAACTAAAGAAGGTCAATTAACTACGTTGGCAAAAGACGAAACAGAGAAGAAATCTGGTAACACTTTCATAGGACAGGATGAGCGCTTACAAGCTTTGGCAGTGGTCATGTTGCATTACTGTGCTGCTCTTCAAGTGCGTTTCTAAGCTTATAATACCTTCGTCAGACTGTTCTTCATGTAGTTCGTTGTTGTGAATGGACATAGAAGAGAGCACACTTTTTATTCTATGAGCATACTAAAAAATCACAATTGAAAATCGAAAGCGAAATCAGGGTTATATTACCATATGTTACATATCTTTCATTTCTTCTTTGATTACTAGGTGTCTCGGTTTGGATTGTTATATAAATTTGTTTCTATATAGGATTGCGAATCACAAGGAAAGGCACCTCCCACAGCTGGTACAATCGGTAGCAGTGAAGTACTTGAAACGTCTGCAGAAGGCTATTCTCTCTCAGTATGTTTTTTGTTCTTTTTGTTTTATTATCATCTTGGTTTTCTGTCCAGCATTTGTAGTATTCGGAGAGCATTCAGTCCATCACTAGGCTAAATTGACAACTAAGTTGTCATCTGATGTTTGCTGCTTTTATCCAGTGGTATGTGCGTAGAATATTTTATATGCTCACATAGCTGTTTTGCCAGATTATTAGTCGTTTCTCACTATTGCTCAATTTACTAAGTTGCTCCCTTGGCTGTTTAACTTTATGTGTTGTAGTAGTGAATTACTTACATTCTTACTACATTCGAAATCGATATGCCGTTATTGATGATGGCACCGTTATGGCAAAAACCTGCTGAGAGGAAGGCAGGTCGAGGACCTCAGTGGCGTAGTGGGCTGCCGGAAAGGGTAATCACGGGTTCGAATCTGCTCTGGTGTCTGGGTTTTGCAAATATCTCAGCATCATTCTGATTGTCTTTCACATAATACCCTACCATGAAAAATAGTAGGCAGGAAAGAAAAAGTTAGATATTGTGATGTGCTTTTATGCTTAAAGTGCTTATAGTTAAAATTAATTTACTAATGCAATTTCAGTAAGTTTGTATAGCGTTTGCATAGCAGTTACATATATACATGATGAAGTCTTGTCTTTCGCAGCGCTTGTATCATTTTTCCACTTTGCCTCTTCAAGAAAAACGCTTTAGATACCCGCCTCCGTAGGAATAGCTTTTCTATCACTGCCTCATTACAAAGGGTAAGGAATCGCAACTCATTTTTTTGCGCCTTTGCCGTCATAGTACGTTTTGATAACGTGTTTCTTACCAACCATGCTGTTCCACCATATGATTCATATAAGACTCATATCGTCTTGTATTTATTATAGATATATATTTTTAATTGCAAGTTAGGATTGTGAGAAACAGAAATAAACATTCTTAGGACTAGTACCAACACTTGTGCTTGTCTAATTTAATTTCATTCAGATATTCTCTAATACCCTCCCAATTGTTTACCACCTCATCGTGGCTGAGAGGTGTTCTTGGGTGTCGGGCTGCGATGTACGGCGAGAGATTCATCCCCTGGCAGGGTTTCCCATGCTGAGAAGGAGTCCAGCATTTCCATCGGGAAGCCTAGTTAAGAGTAAACCAATACCAGGATCAACCACCACCCTATATCAAAGTCGCATGGTGGCAAATCTTCCTCTAATCCACAAGGGCTGCGACTGCCCGTGGTGGTGAAGACCTGGGGCAGACTTTGGCCAGGCTGACCTCGGGGCTCCAGGGAACCATAATGGCTTAACCAGTAAATTTCCAAAAAGTGGTGATTGTGCTGGGGCCCGCACAACCAGTGAGGACGGGCCGTTCAAGTTTCGAGTATTCTCTAGCACAATTGTTTTCGTTATAACTTAGTCTACATAGTCAAATGGACCGGCTTAAGATGATATCAACTCATTTTCATTTCGGTCGTTTATTTTGGCGTACAGAAGTTTTTTGTTGCGCGGTTTGCATTCGTTTGGTAAATTATACAACACAGGCTAAATCTCTGGATATATGATCCGTGAATCTTTTTTTAACAACTAATAACTTATAAAAGGCTGTTCGGAAGAGTCCATTTTGTGGTCGATCTCCAGGAAAGCAGACACCAGAGTGCTCTAGTTTAAAGGGGAAAGGTAGACGTCTGTGCTACAATTTAACACAAGTTCAGCGCTAAGCGTCATTTTTTGCTGCGAAAAGATGTAAGATCAGTAAGGAAACTTGCATAAGTGATTTGTAATATAGTTGTTGTTTACGTAACCAAAAACAACTCGTTTATAGAAGATCTTTGTCGTTCATCAATGCGCTTCCACATAATTATGTCTTATCACGAGCTTGTGTTCTCATAACATTTTGTTGCTCTTGCGATCATCGTACTATAATAGATTTACTATTTTAATTGTTAGGAAATTGATTTCGAACACAAATTGGTCTCTACCGCCGCAGCTTCAGCTTAACTGAGTAAAATAAATTTATTCTACAATTTTCTCACTATTAACACCTCTTAAGGTCTACCTACAGTCTTTGTAGTCGCAAGTTTCTATAATTAGCACTTTTGACAGTCTGCAACCTAAAACTCTAATTACAACTTGCATTCATTACTTCAACTAGTAATCTTTGCATTCGATGCTTCTTGGGGGCTACAATCTTTGTAACCCGATATATTGCGCAGATACTATCACTTCTTTTAGTTAATTCGTTTGCTCACATCACTTCTCTATGGAGATCTTCGGATTTCAACATGGATTCGGTTTGACACAGTTACTAGTGGAAATTAGGTCTTCGGGTCACTTACTGGCACCGAATGGTCGCCGGCATTGGGATAGAATGCTTGGCTTCGTGGAAAGTTCCCACACGGGACTTCCTCGACGTTGCCACTGAGCAACACCTCCAACTTCGGTAATTAAACCGTTTATAACAACGATAGCGCGAGAATAACGATTTGTAAGTATCGGAACAATACACGCGGCAATGCGGTAACATAGTCATTAAGTAACTGGAAGGCTGGACTTGCTAAAGGCTAATAGAGCAATGCGATGTGCATGCATAAAGTAGAATAGAGTTAATGTGCTCAAAGGTATGTGACAGTGGAATAAGGTTAATTTACAATGGTGACAGCGTGCAATAAGTGTTAACAACTTGGATCGTCTATATGACGTAACGCATAAGATAAACGGCTGGACCCTAACAACCTTATTCAGAGGAATAGCTTATTTACTCACAAAGCCGTTTAAATATCATCTCTAGGAGGCGGTGTTTTGGCACAGGTCCAGAACTTTCTCCGGAAACATTTGTCGACTGTTGCTTCAAAGAGAGGTTTTGGATACAAAAATTGTTTCCTGCGATGAGAATTCCCTAGAATTAGATGAAAATGTTTGCACACTTCAAGATCGCAAAGTGATATTAGTGGCAGTAGATGTGGTCTTACTATAGGAACATGCGATAAAATAAAAGGTTAGTAACTATTCGGGAACAGTCGCTATACGGTTGTTGCAGAGGATTTTGTCATCCTTTGAATACTGATCGAGCAAAATCTCCCTGGAACATGGGCAGCTTTGCTACAACGTTCCCAGGTCTTTGCATAGCCAATCATGGGCTGTTTTGGATCGGATGCTTCAAATAGATGTAGTACTAGTTTGCCTATCCTAGAGATATGAGAGTATTGATTGGCTCGAGACGACGTCGAACCAGTGATCTTTGCATATAGTCTGCCAAGTTAGTTTTTTTTATTCTTTTGGAGAAATTTTTTCGGGCGCAAGTTTGCAGACCCCTGACTTATCGGAGACGTGGTAGGCCTGGAGGACGAGATTGAACCAATGATCACGTATTTGTTGTAGAACACCCGTGATGACAGCGCTCACGAGTAATTAAAGAAGCCCAGTATTAGTTTGTAGTGTAATGCAGTAGTTTTTAATTGTTCCTTGTGATGTATCTTCTTGTCCAAGTATATTTTGTTTCTTAGTGTTTCGATATTTATTTTGATACTCAGACTTCTTGTATATTATTTCTTGCTATTTGCTTGTTTTTTTTTGTACTTTTTTGTACTGATGTCGAATTATTCATATGAAGTACGTTTAAGTTTGAATACATGATGCAAATATGGCCTTGCTAACTCCTATCTTCTTTTAATGCTAAGGAGATATCTGTTGATTTTTGCGTGACACCTTGTTGCATGTCTGTCAGCCACCCTGTGTTGCTTTGCAGTGTGCCGTTTCGAAGCTTCGTCAGAAGATAGTAACTCGTCGTACTGCTTTACGTAAGCATGTGTCAAGAAGTCTTCGTGTGTTTAACCGATTGGTGGGTTTCACATTCGCAGCCATGTTCCTGTGTCTAACAATCTTCGTAAAATTTCAAAACCGACTTTCCTTTAACCTCGGTGTAACTAGTCGATATGTACTCTTTCTTTGATGGGCTTATGCGAGGTTCATAAATATATTTATTTTCGGCTAACGTTTTGACGTCTTCATCTTCATCAGAGCCGATGACCCGAGTCGATGGTCTACAGTTGTTCGTGTTCTCGATGTGGCGGCATCGCCTTCGTGTCGAATCAGGTCTTTCTTAGCGGGCCACCTACTCGAATGAGGCATACTCACTCGTTTTTATGCAGGATACTGATGGTTGATATAATGATAATGTCAGGCGATAACAACTTGTTTTTCATCCTGACAATAGCTAGGAAGCTTCCCAAAATCAATCGAGGAGATGGCCCGCTGAGGAAGACCTGATTCGATACGAAAGCGATGCCGCCACATCGAAACGAATAACAAACGTGAACCATCGACTCGGATCATCTGCTCTAATGAAGGCGAAGACGTCGAAACGTTAGCCGAAAATAAATGTATTTATCAACTTCATGTAAGCTCATCAAGGAAACCTTCGTAAATGTTTTTACGGGCTGCTAATTTTTACGAAAAGCAGTTCTTACTAGAAAATCCAAGTTTGGTATCATATTTCGTTTTCGCTATAGTGATGCTTCTCGCTTGCACATTATCACAAGAATGGATGTTGTAAATTTCTTTTGACTTGGAACTATCGAAGGCGTTCAAGTGGGATTCCGCCCAGCAGAATGCGGTCCTAGCCGTGAATATATCGTCATTTGCGGTTGCCGTAGTTCCTTTAAAGATTTAGAAATTTAGATTTGTTTGCGTTTTTTGAGTACTTAAATTTTACCCAGTTTTAAAACTGAAGAGATGTTTCATATACATTATGTATACCCTTGAAACTGTAAATTAAAGTCTCGCCTATGAGTGTGTCAAGTTAGGTGCTAAACCAAGTGTTCTGCTGGCGAGGAATTGTTAACAGTTGTCTTAAGGCATCATCGTCTTGAATGTTTGTGTATATGTATATGGTACATTCTGATCTCATTTATAACTTTCTTTATATTATACTTACATTACCTAGTGAAGTTTGCATACTCATTCCCTATGATGCCTAAGTTTACTACACGCAGCAGTGGACCTAGCCTAATTTTCCTATTTCCACCTTTTACAAACATGTTGGCTTCTTGAAAATACACAGTAATTTTCAATAACTAGAGGAATAGAAGAGTTGTGGACATGTGAGGGTTGTGGAAGAGACTTTGATATAACACTTTATCCGTGTGTTATTATTTACTATATCTTACTATGACGGAGTGCGCGTAGAGCAGTGGTCGGAGGCTCTCTGCAATACACTTTGGATCGATCCCTGCCTCTCAAACTCACTAAGCCTTCTATCCTTCCGGGGTCGACAGTTTGGGACCATACTTATCGGGGAGAATAGCAGCACTGACTCAATAGATCGGCAGTCCTCCGCGAGTCACTATAAATACCAGAGATGCATTCAGTCACCTCCAACGATGCTTGGTGAAGTCAAATGCATGATGCATCCCTCAAAGATTAGTAAACGCCGAGAACTTTATCCTTTTTTTTATTCTTTTGTTTTACTTTGCTCCATCGTGCCAAGATTGCTGTCAGCATTTGAATTGACTCTTCAGCTTATTTCGATTTTTTCCGGTATTTTTCGTGCCCGCACATCGCATGGAATAACCATGACTCATGAGGATTAAAATGAGATAAAAGTTAGTTGTTGCTCAAATTACCATTCAACGAACTTCCCCGAAAAAAGATACTTTGTACATCATTAAATGTAGAAACTAGCTTTTTTAGTCTTACCTCTTCTACATTGCTGTTCTTTCGGTAAGGTATCGAATGATTACAATTAATTGTGGTGAAAGAGCCTTGCGCGTCAAACCATCAGAAAGAAAATGTCCCCTGCATAGATCATACGGACCACTCATCCTCTCACGTATGAACACTAAGTGTCTATATTATCGCGAATGGACTGATTTTGCCTATACTGTGCTAGCATGTCATTTTTCTCTTAATGTTCTTACAACTCATAACGCCCTATTTACCAGCTTTTTTGGAATTAAGCAAACTACTGTTCTTTGTCACCAAGTTTTTTCCATAAATTCCTAGGTGAACAGACATTTGGCTGTTGTACTAATTTTCAATAATTGACAGCTCATATGCCCGTTTCATTGCATTCATTAGGTATGTGGCGCATTTTTTTTTTTTTTGAAGTTTACCTTCAGTACATAGAGGTAGTTGATTCCATCCCACAATTAAGGCTACCTAAACATTACCTAGCTTTTTAAAAATTGACAGCAGATTTGTCTGGGATGATAAAGACGCAGACTTCATAGATTGGTAAGCTTCGACTAGTCACTCTATTGACCAGGATCATTCATTCATTTACTTCTGTGACACTCAGTGAAACCAAATGCCCTTCGTATTTTTATGCCGTTGCTCATGGTCGAATGCTGCATTCTGTATCCCTTTTTTGAAATCAGTAAATGTACTAAAATAACTTCAGCTATCACTAGTTATGTGTTTTTCAGGGTGTTTGTTCTTCCACTGACGAGATTAGCAACAATATAGTTGTTTTTGAACCGACAGCACCAACGACCGCTGACGATGCTAAGTCGACATGTGATAAGCTCAATCAAGCATTCCTTGTGATGACTCAGGAACAGGATTCTCTGAAGGAAGAGTAGTGCGAACCCAACTGGCCGCCGGTGTTTGCTTGAAACAAGCTTGTATTGGAAAAAATTCTTTGGATCTCTTCTTCTTCTAAAAAAATTGCAGTGCTTTTCGTTTTTTCTTAGAGGCCGGATCTCCAACTGTGGTATTCACACTGATTCTTACTAGAGGTTTTTTTTGCGGTTATATAGAAGGGGGTTTCCATTTTCCCGTTTGTAGAAATCTTTCTCTTATCGGGGTGAAGTGATTCTTATGTGATCTGCTTTTGTAAGGTGATTTACTTGGACTATTGTGCTTGTAAGTTAGGAGCTACGACTGTTTTATACTGCTAGGTCTTTTAACTAAACATTTTCGACGACTATTTGAAATCGATATTCCTGTTTAATCCGTAACTTTCTACGTAGACTTTTGCTTAACTTCCATTCGTGTCTCATTCACAATTTTTTTGTACTCATAATGGGAATGTGGAATCTTCATTGTGCTTTATTCCTTATCGTGCAAGTACCACATACGTGTATGTGAAACTGCTTAATAGTTGGATTTTAACGTTTTCCCATCCATAATTCCCTACGAAGCTCACAGTCCCTCTTCACACAGTTAAACCTGGTACACCAGTAATACCGATTTTTTTCATTATACAAGAAAGAGGTGGTGAGCGACACTTCTTACCGGTTCGATGCCTGTGTTAACCATTTATCTATTCATACCTGTGCAGTGTAAAAAAAAAGTTTCGTGATCGCCTTTTTTTAATTAATTCATAGTCCTAATAAATTCTTATCTGACTTACTTTTATTGAAGTTTATGCTTTGCAAGAAGTCTTAGAACTCTTTATATTTCAGTCATTTTAAAAGTGGTAGCAGGTGATGACTAGATCGTTTGGTGGGAGGGGTCTCAAACGGCGTCATATGGACTTTCTAGTCAACTTATGGTCTTGACCTATTTAATATGTAATTATGAAGTAGTAAACAACTTACGTACAGTTAAATAAACAGGTAAACTTGCACACATGTGGTGAATTGATTGATGCATGTGGCCGATTAGAACACAAAGGGCAACGTGGAGATGGTCTCTCCAGGTATAGTAGAAGTGCAGGTGATACGGCATTACCTATTTTGGTAAACATATCACTATGTTTGTTGGAGGTAGAATTTATAGGCATTCGTTTGTTCTCTTCCGAACACAATGCGTAATCTCTGTAGGGGAAAAGCTCCAAGTCAGGTTGTGACTGTGTGTTGTGCGACACGAAAGAGCATCGATTTTTACCAACTGCATAATCCATCAGAATAAACCCAAAATATAGCTTAGTCCTGTCGAGATCGTTGTAGAAATAATATGTTCTATGCAGCACTAGGTTGTTGAGCCTTTGACTTCTGTAGTTGGGCTTCTTTGTAAGGTTCTCCGGAAATTAATTTCCAATTTCAACCTACATTTACGAAGTAGTATGCCCCAGCTTGGATTTGTTAATTCAAACAAATTCTTTGGAATCGAGATATTTTTTACCTGCGAGAAATAAGGTGATTTATACCGGTTGCATGACATTTTGAACTTCTGGATGCGTTGAACTCGTTGAGGGAAGTTTCGGCCTCATCTTGCCTTCCGAAGCATTTCTTGAACAGGAAGTTATCGGGATGCTTGAAGAAGTGATAGTCGATAGACAAGGAGTGTGGCGAGTATGGTGGGCGGTCAAAGTTTCGTAGCCCAACTCGTCCAAGTTCTGCAGTGTCGGTTGGATGACGTATGACCCATGCGGTATGAGGAAGTACTGGTCCGTTCCCGTTGGGCAATACAGGACACGGACGTTAAAGTGTCTGATTCATATTTCAGTTTGGTGGATATATTTATCATCTGTAATCGTTCCACCTGAAATGAAGCTGTGATGGATCAGTCTAGACGACCAAGCGGCCCGAATGACCTTCTTTTAGTGGAAATTTCGGCTTGGAGAAGTGCTGCGTAGCTTCATCGTGGTCCAACCACTCAACTAATTGTTCTCAGTTGTCATATAGGATCCATTTCTCGTCGCTCTTCAGAACACGTTCGAGGAACAGGTCGAGGAGCATATTTGCGTGCAGGAAACGATGAGCTTCAAAATAGCTGCTTCTTTGATTGTTATTTTATTGGTACGGCATCCATTTTTCAATTTCTTTCAAGTTTTCAACTTTCTTAAGATGCTACGAAACAGTTGTGATGTTTATAGCGATTCCTTTTCCAATTTCTGGAACAGTATTTGCCTACACAGTGTGGTCTTCAACTCATCGTTGTCAGTACTAGAAGCGCGTCCACGAACTTCGTTATCTTCCTTATCCCATTCGCCTTGACGAAGTTTTCCAAACCAGCACTGCACCGTGCGTTGGTTAACACTTCCTAGGCTGCATACCTCATTAATGCTTCTAGTCGTTTGCGCTGCGTACATCCAAGTTTGAATTCGTAGAAAAAGGTTTATCGAAACTACTGTGTTGACGTATGAAATTCTAACCTTTGAAGTCTGTCAAAAACGTATTTTATATCATAGTTCAGTTTCTAGGGCAAAAGTGCATAAAATGAGCCTCGCAATGATTTAGTGCAGCATTCGGGAAAAAAAGTGTCGCTAAAGCAAATACAGAAGAAATGAGATTGCAAATGGACGTTAATTTCCGGGTAACCTAAGAAATCAGTCTGGCAGTGAGTGAGTATGGTTGGTTAACGACAGCAAAAAAATCTAATCTGGACTTGATCACTTGTACCACTTGTCGCCCTAATGATCAGCGCCAGCAAATTTCCCGTATCTCCATGTGGTCTGAAAGAGTGGCCCATTAGGGTTTATTCGCTCTAGGAATTCGTTAAACATTACGTCGCTCTCACAGGATCTTCGTGAAAGATTTTGATAGTCGGATAGACGGTATCCTTGCTTTGCATTTGACAACCGAGGAATTCATTGGCTAAGAGCACTTGGTCATTGTCAGTGCCGATGTTGATCCCCATCTACTTCAACGGAAACCGTCTAATTCGGGTTGTTAGCTATTAGGACGAGTCAATGTTCATGACCAAACCCATACTGACGAGGACGCCAACCCCACCGAGTCCTCTGCTTTCGCATGTTGCGAGTAATAGTTTTTCTCCGGTGTCACAGCGTTGAAAAGATGGTGTCTTCTCATCTCAGCCATTCCGTTGACATCGTTACTATTTCTTTAGCCTTCATCATCAGGTCTTCAGTGAAAGATCCAGGTGCATATGAGCTTCCATTATAAGTGCGAATCGTCGCAGTCCCTCCACATTTAGGCAATCCAGAGCGATCCAGTTATTTTATCAGATACTCCTCCTACCTAACGTTGCCGTCTCGACGGCTACATCAGGGGAATGGATGCCGCTTATTTCAGTGTCCAATTTTTGATATTCACGTATAGTTTGATCGGCTTTGAATGTGGGAACCGGATATATTCAAGGGAGTTTACCAGTCTACTAGACATAATAGACTGGAAGCCAGCTTATTTGTTGGAGGCGACAAGCGACTTCTATCCGCCTCCCGTATATTTCCCAGTCAGTTGATGGCAGGTTTTTGGAGGTGTTGGCTTCTAGAACACTAATGCCCTAAACGAAAACACATACACGCACGCATAATCGGGAACTCTATGCCATCGATTCAGCTTCGTCACCGGGAAGCACAAGCTTGTTTCTGTTCTCCGTTTAACGTCCTGTGTGTCAAGTGGAGATGCGCAATGTAGCCGTGCAGTTCCACATTTACGGCTACGCCAAATTTCGTTGGCGTGGAAGTGTGCGTAATTTCTCGCTGCCCGGTTTGTGAATTACGCAACGCATACGCTTCGTGGCGCCACCCTTTCCACACACAATAGAAAGGATAATGAGACGTCGTTTATCATTTTTATTAACAACAGTTTTTGCTGTGTTTTCATTAACAACGGTCTATCGATACAAAGTGCAACAAATCTTCCCGGGGATACACGCATTTGAATCTGGTGAAGTAGAAACATCCTAGCATCTTCACATCTACCAGCGGAAATATTCTTGTTCCCTTCTAGTCATCAACGGTCTCTGTTACTTGGCCGTCGAACTCGTCCGGAAAGTAGTTGCTTGTGATTTGCTTAGTGTGGAACAAAGATTTTCTCAGAATACGCCTACTACGGCAAATTTGCTTGGTCGTGTAAAAACTTTGACGAAAAAACCTCGGGGAATTTAATAGTCGGAAAGAATATGCGTTGAAATCAATTCATGTTGTCCAATGTGGACAAATTAGCTTTTTACCGAGGTGTAATTCTTGAGTAGCGGTAACCATGAATGCAAGTCGGTTGTTATAGTTGACTGGGGATCATTGGTAGTAGGGATCCAATATCTGGCAATATTCGGTTCAATTGCAGTTTTTTATAGAATTGAGGTCATTTTTAGTCCACAAATATCACAGTAAAAAGAATACATTACCGGCATACTCATATGTCCTTAATATCTGGTAAATGCGCTCTATGTTGACACATAAATAAAGATTTATGGCTTCAAAGCTTTAACCTTTTACGCTGGCTGTCAACACGTGGAAAACGAATACGAGCAATTTTTCGTCGACTGCGGGTTCTCTGGATTTAGAGGATAAATAATCTTTTCTCAATAACTAGAGGACTTCAGGCGTTGTGAATATGACTGGATTGCTGAAGCGATTTTGGTCTATCGTTCCATCAGTGTAAATGGTACGTATGCTACCATTTACTATGTTTTGCAATGGTCCGTACTGCAAGTGCGCTGCTGTTGGCATTTGGAAGTGTTTTACAGTTAATGTTGAGTTTATTTGGGTTTTTTCATATTCACACATTCCATACAACAACCACGTGATTAAAACGAAGTGCTACTAAATTTGCAGCAAAATTGCTGATCAAAGAACTTTTTCGAAAAAAGTTTGTAAACCCATTTTAATCTGCTTTCGGCTAGCTATTTAGTGAGTGTACATAGCCATTTAAGAAAAAAACTCAGAAGCCAATACACTAAATGTGGGCACTATGTGTCCATGCGGTCGTTTGTTCCAAACCGCTATGAA